CTCAACAGACCAGGGTACAAGAGCTGTCATACTGATACTCACAAATAATCTAATTTCATATGTTGTAAGAGGCAGGTACTTGCATTGCTTTCTCGATCCGTATTAATGATGAGCAGTGTCATTCGAGATCCTTAAGTCTGGCTTAAGGGGATCCAAATTCATAGTTGCAAGAGTGAGTTCGTCTCTCTAATTTCGAAGTTATTCATTTTAGAATTTGAAAGCAATATGTACACTAAAAATTGTCAAGTCATGAATTCGTTATTTCATCTTAAGTCGAAACATTGAATTGAATTTGTTGACTGTCTCTAATCCTTACAAGAGTTAAATTCACCAACGACCACCTAATTTTATACTTAGTGTTATCGTGGTCACCCAATTTAATTTTGTTTCATCATGACCAACGAACTTTATATTTAGTGTCACCATAGCCACTCAATTTGATTTTATTTCTCCATGATCACCCAATTTCATATAACGTTTCACCATGATCATCCAATTTCATATATCATTTCACCATGATCACTTAATTTTTTCAACATTTTCATTAATTTTAAAATGGGTAAAATGGTAATTTTGTATTATGCCCCCGTTTGTTTCTCATTTTTCATCCATAAAAATGAAAAATATGATCGTTATCCATCACATCAACATTTAAATTTTCTTTTTCTCTTGTGTGGGCTCAATAACGGCTATATTTTTCATTCTCATTCTTTANTTAAATTTCTATCTCTTGTGTGGGGTCCAATAACAATTATATTTTTCATTCTTATTTTACAATAATGAGAATCAAACGGGCCTATATATATAATAAATTTAAAAACAAAACAAAAATAAATGTTTTTTTAATTTTAAAAACGTTTATTTTAAAATAAGTTTTTATTTTATTTTAAAAATATTTTTTAAATAAGTTTTTATTTTATTTTATTTTTTCAACGAACATTTTTTTTATAAAAGTAACTTTTTATTTTATTGTATTTTCTAAGTTAAAAAAAACGTTTTTATTTTATTTTTAAAACAAGTTTTTATTTTATTTATTTTTCTAACCAACTTTTTTAAAATAAGTTTTTATTAAGTAACATTTTTTTAAAAAAAATAAGAATTTATTTTTTTAAAATAAGTATTTATTTTAATTTTTTAAAATTAATGAAAATAGTGAAAAGAAGTTTAGTGGCCATGGTGAAATGTTATATGAAAATTAGATGGTTACAGTGAAACGTTTTATGAAATTGAATGATCATGATAAAATAAAATCAAATTGGATATGTGACACTGAATATAAAGTTTGATGATCATGATAAAATTAAATTAAATTGAGTGTTCATAATGACACGTCATCGTTGATGGATTTAACACCCCTTATAAATTATTGTACAAGACTTGAATAGTAAATATGATTATTTTTCTATGAGATTTCGACAGCATTGTTTCTTGTTTACTGTAACATGGTACATAAATTTTCTCAAGTTTTTAGTTAAAACCCGTGAATGCAAATAATATTAAATTCACTAGTTTGCTTATAATTATATTAAACCGAACCAAACACGCCCGAAACAGAACCACCCCAGCCCAAATGAACTGGTTATTGTTCCACTGTCTCTCATCGTCGAATGACTCGAATGCCTTCGCCCACCGCACACGGTGGTGAAGGTGGAGGAGGAGAAATGCTCTCTTGGGTTTCTCAAGAGTGTTCATCCTAACTTGTCAATCTGAAATAATGTAGTGATTCTTGGGCTTACCTATTTCCTTTATCGCCAACATTTTATTCCGACTGTACATGCACCATCCTTCTCATCAATAATCAAACTCTTAAAAACTCATATTCGCTTAGTTACTGTATAATTCGTTTCTTTTTACCTTTTCGTGGCCCCAAAATTTTGTCTTGCAAAATAATCAGAATAAATTTGGGTTTGTCATTCTTTCCTTTTCTTTGCATATGTTTTGTCAACAATTTCTGTATTTTACTTTAATCTATTGTACTTTTAAAAAAAAAAAAATTTTTTTTTTTGGAATAGTAAACAACCTAAGTTAGCTGGTGCATGCTATTATGTTCCTCTAATATGTGATCCTTATTCAGTTTCATAGAATTCAATTTAAAATTTTGGGTTTTGTCCATCCTCAATTTCCCCTTTGCTCTTCATATAATGCATGAGCACTAAAATAATTTTTTCTTTGTTTTAAAATTTCGTTTTGGATTGCTCCGTAGCCCTTAGAAATTAGAAAATTGATGAAGAGTTACTATTATAGATATTCTCATTTCTCTTATCCTTCCTATAGGTAGACATGGTGGGTGACAAGGTGATATATGCAGATGAATGAAAAGATTCAATACATTGAATTCTCGAAAAGAGCTGACACAATGCAGATTGCAGAAGATGCAGGAAACGTCGAAACAATTGGTGTTTTGATCTCAATTGCACAATAGACTGAACCCAGGTATGTGGAGTACATAAGAGGCCGTTCTCTTCGTGTTTCAGTTTTGTGTTTTGAGTTTTGAATTCATTTTGGGTTTTGTGTTTTGATTGTCTGTTTTGAAATTGTTGAAAATGTGTTCTTTTTGACATTTTAAAAAATTGTTTTCGAAAATAAAAAAAACCAAAACGTGTTCTCTCTCTCCATTTTCATTTCATTTGGGTCGTCTCTCTCACTCTCTCCCTCCTCTTCCTGCGAACGGCGCTCCCGGCGAGCGGCTCGGTGGTGGTTTGCGTTTGGGCGCTCCCTGCAATCTCCTTCTTCATCTTTAATTTTTTCGTTCTTTGATGCGGTGATTGGTTGGGTTGCGAGCCTCGATGGTTACATCGCAACTTGGTGATGGCTGGTGNTGTGCTAATAAGCCAATGCAAAAAAATGAAACGTTTGGACGTTTTGCACACTAACTATCATACGTTGGGACGTTTTGTGCTAATAAGCCTTTATTAAAAAGTTGGTCAAACTTCATTTTAAATTACAAATTTCATTCTATTCACGACTTTTATTCACTTTTAACTACAAATTTCATGAGACCAGTCACCGTTGAACGTGAATTTCACGTTATTATGTAATGATTTATAAGTGTTGTAAAAATAATATTTGAATATACGTGAATATTAATTAATTTATAATTAATATCAGGAAATATATACGTAATAATGAATGTTAGATCTTTTATTTAATTTTTAATTAAGTAAATATGGATGTTAATTAGCATACACAAACGTAAATAATGAAATGCATTGTTGAATACGAAATTCTAATTAACTTATAATTAGAATTAATAATACTGAAACAAATAAATGAAGATAAATATTAATTAAATGAATGTAAATGTTAATTAATTGAGAATTAATAAT